ACAAAATTGTCGAAAATCATCGAAGACCCCCCAGACCCCCCATTCCCCCCATGCACAAGGCGCGTCAGGGCGTTGAGCACATGTAAGGCAGAGGTCGAGCAGTGATGAATCGACAAGTACAAGGACGAATCACGGAGAGTCTGGTGCAACTCGCGACATTGGACAAGCGGACGCAAGCTAAATAAAAGACGCGGAAGGGTCGCAGCGTTGAAATGACGAGACGCAGGAGCGGACGCTTCGGGTAACGGAGAAGACAAAGGATGAAACTGAAAGAACGCACGTTCTACCCAGCGGTCAAACCGAACGGGTTCTAAGGTAGGGTCAACCTTGTCCTCGATCTGTTGCCATTGCGCGTCCTGCAAGATCCAAGTGCTGCGAAGGTATGCCATATCAGGGGGAGCCCGTGGGGGGCGCAGCCTGTACAGCTTGGGAGTACGAACCATAACGTAGGGGTCGCATCCAGGGATCTCTTGCAGTCCCTCTTTGCTCGAAAGTCCCGGCTGATACAGCTGTGGCGGGACAACCGGAATGGTGGTGTAAGGATATGTTGGCACCTTACCGTGACGGTCTTTCTGGAGCTGCTTGGCGTAAGACAACCCATCGTGAGTTGGCTTCATCACGTCGAGCAACGCTTGGCTACGCAGACCATCGTCGCTCAGTATATTGATCAGCATGCACGCATGTTTCCATGAGTTGGCATCATCGAACCCTTTAGTGTGGATATCGGCAGCCATACGAGCAGTGACCTCATACACGAGCAACAGATAGTCACGCTTGAACATCTCATACAACCAAGTGATGGAAATACCATGAGTGCGCTCCATGTGACGCATCGTGGGGTTCCGCCCACTCCTCATAACATTGATCATCGCTTGATTATCGTCATAAAAGACTATTCTGGGTGGCGTCCTCATCAAAGTCTCCCATGCACTGATGCTCGGGATTCCAAGTGTTCTCAATGCGTAATCCGCCGCTACAATCTCAGCCTCCGGGGTGGAGTGGCTAACGCACCCTTGACGTTTGCTACCTCCTGCCAACGGGAAACGAGTTCGTTTGCCTTGGACATGCATGTGAGCACCGGAAGTCGACTTCAACGATTGACCACACCCTGCGTAGTCCGCATCTGCGAATAGGGCTAACGACAGGTCTGCTTTGGAATCACCGACCCAACCTACCATTTTCTGATCGGCTGAATGATGCACGTAACACATCAGGTGGTACAATTTAGCATCATCGGCAACCGTCCATTTTGTCACATTACGAGCCAGCACATTGATGGCCCGTAACAGGTCGAAACGTGCTATTCTAGCAGCGTACAACAGTTTCATTAGGAGACTAGCAGCATGAGGCGCTAGGGTACCACGAGGTTGCTCCTTCGCATCGGACTTGACGTCATCGTCCGTTGACCTGGCCTTGGAAACTGCCTGGTCAGGCGAGAAGCAAGTACCACACCATGTGCATGTGACAGCAAGTCCCTTTCGGGTACTGCATGGTGCTCTCGATGGATGATCCTTTGTGACATCCGGTAACATCGGCGTTGCAACTTTCTTCAATACGGTGTCCTTACCTACTATATCGAGGTACTTGACCACGCTCATTTTGAGCAGAGCGCTCATATCATATGTCATTGTAGTGACTTTGGAACCATCGGCCAATTTATCTTCGCCTTTCGACAAAACACATCCTAAATACAATCCGACCTCGGTTTCCGGTTCAATGCGCAGCTTGGAGCGGAGTAGGTCCCAACCTTTCTTCAAGTTCTCCTTGGGCCCTGCCAACTTCAAGTCGTCCACATATATCACTAACAGCAAGTCTAGTTTTTCGTGGTAGTACATCGACGGCCATTCTGGTCCAACGGGTTTGAACCCCAATGCACGTACAGATTCGTCGCAATGTTGCTCCCACATCGTTCCAGAGTCTGGATGTCCGTATAATGCTTTGTTCACACGACACATAGGGCGTTTGAGACCCCTTCTGGTGATCTCCTCTTGCAAGTGCTTGGGCCATGCTTCCCACGGGAGTTCAGCCCAACACGGTACACCGCCCAATAATGCTTGGATATATGCTCGAATGGCATCTGCCATCTGCACATCATTACCTTCCAGGCAACCGTAGAAATCGGCCCATCGAGCAGCTTCGAACGTAGCTGGAGAGTTTCCAAGATCTTGGAACAACGCCGCCTCGAAGTTCTGGTTCTTCACTTGATCTCCGAGTAGAACCCCTCGCCCTTTGAACTTCCTCTTCGGGTCATCATCAGGCAGTTGGTAGTTCTTTTCCACACATATTCCATGTACTCTTGCTAAGTGAACTTCTTCTCCTTTCTTCTTGGAGGTTGCCACGATCTCATCATATTCTCTCAGCCACGACCCGTCGAATGTTTCCTCATCCCAGAGTCCGCCCCATTCATCCAACATAGATTGCATTGCCTTCTTATTGGATAAGATCTCAGCACGGCTCACAGGTCTTGATACCACCGCGTTAAACAACCTATTGCCCATAAGTTTTGGGCGATGTTGCGTATCACGCACTACACATGGCATCGTCGGAAATGGTTCATCAACTATATCGTTGTCAATGGGATCACCAGTGATGCAACAACATATCTGACCGTTCAGTGGATTGTAGACGTTCTCCGTCTTCCAAGCCGCCATAGCAAGATTGTCATCGCTGTCCTCCCACATGGCACTCTCGTCCCAATCGGTGAGGAATTCTTCATCACTGGGGACACACGTGGACTCGGATGTAAAGGATTTAGGTGACCATGAGTCTTCATCATCATCAGTGTCCCACTCCATAAAGGTAGTAGGCATAGCCAAGCTTGGTCCACCTCCATCCTTCTCTTCCTCGCCCTTAGACTTCTTCTCTTTCTTGGACTTCTTGTCCTTCTTGGTTTTCTTATCCTTCTTGTCTTTCTTGGACTTCTTTTCACTACCTCCTTCATCACCCTTCTTGACGTCTTCCAGGTCCTTCAAGAGTTCGTCAGGCTCTTCGTCCTCCTTCTTATCCGTACTGCTCCCATGCCCTTTTGCTTTCTTCGACAATCTATCCACGACCCTGTCTACATGCTTTCCGGCCTTCTTGGCCATAGCTCTATCTTTCACCGATAGCTTCTGCCATTCTTCAGGCGTGAGGTAGTCCTTGGGTCTTGGTGAGTTGTGGAAGAGTCGCCTTCCATCCGATCCCACTCTATATAGACGACCGTCCTTTGCGATCTTGACGTGTTCGCCGTCGTTGTTCAAGTAAATGATGTTATCACCTGGCCCCCCAACGGAGTAGTGATCGGGACCGGAGTAGTCCTCTTTCTTCTTCTCTGCGAGCTCCTCCGTTTTCTCATCCTCGATCGCGTCAATCTCGCTGGCTCTTGACTTCAGATCCCCGTCTGGTGGATCAGGTGCATCATCGTCATCGTCTTGATCGTCGCTATCGTCGGGATCGGGTAACTCGGGATTGGTAGGTGCATCTGGAGAACCGGCTCTCTCCTTCAGGACTTTCATTCCTTCGAGAGTGCTGTTCAACCTCTCATACTCTTTCTTCAAAGGGAATTCTATTCCGTCGTCCTGGAAGATCTTCTCTGTGATGTGAGGAGTAATCAATTTCCTCAACGGCCTCTCGGCATCATAGCCTAGATTCTGTTGCGCGAAATCGCTTATAGCCCATACTTTGTATTTCCTCGACCAGTTCATCCCGGTCCCCATAACGTACCCTGCGAAGATGCCAGGTATGCTCTTGGGGTCGAACTTGTGATCTTGGTCTCTTTCTCTCGCATCGCTCGGTTTGAAGAACACCTTCGCTCCAAGTGGTATCACCATGCCTATGAAATTCCGCGGTTGCAGTTTGGTCCCTGCTTTTCTGGGGAAACTGGCCCAAAGGCCTGTACAGCACCAAGCGAGATGCACACAGTTGCAAGAATCACCCAAGGCTACGCTACCATACAAATCACATCCAGAGCGGTGCGTTTGGCGCAGTGATACTGGACGCAGCGTTCAAATGAATTTTGCGCAAACGAATTATCCAACGAGAAGCCGTGGACATAAGCACACTCCTACACACATGACTGCGCAACCAGCAACTTAGGCCTGTGCCTTGGCGGCGCTTGAGCCTGCGGGTTCGTAGAACCCCTTAAAAGGGTGTAAGGGCACTGTGTCCACGAAAGAGTTTCCCATGAAAACACCGATGCAGTTTGCAAACATCAACTCTAGATTTTTGCTTGTTTGGTTTGTAGACACGGGTCAAAAGACTGCAGAATCAAGTCTGAGAAAAACCTTGCTCTATGCGAGAACCTGTTAAGTGCAAAATGCGCTGGGAGGGATGTCATTCACAAGAGGAGTGAAGGGGAGTGGAAGCAACAAGGATGAGAACGAAGCACAGTAACAGGCAGCTCAATTCAACAGATTGAAAAGCTCCTGGGTGTGCCCACTACAGACATTCTGCGCCCTTTGTCTGACAAAAATGGACGGCTTCCAAAAGGAGCATTTGCTCTCCGCCACATCAAGCAGCACCTCACTCTTTGGGGCGAGCTTTGTTGGCTGCTCACAAACTTTTAGAGATTCAGTAGCGCATCACACTGGCGTGCGAATGTTTTTAAACAACAAAAACAAAAAGGCAGTGGAACTTCTGTCGTAAGAATTTGGCAGCCAGCTCTTTGCTGCAAGGTCATGGTTCTGTGCCTTTGGAATCTTGGTGAGACAAGTGGTCCCCGAATCTCAAGCTAAAGTTGGCCTGAGCACAGAGGTGAACTGAAACATCGAATCTGAGCGTTTAAGTCTGGGACATTTCTGAGAGGCTGCGCATGAAACACACACAGAAACAATACAACCCATGTCTGCTACTGTACGCGCTGGAGTGTGAGAGGAAAACTAAAAAATGCACAAAGTCTCACAAAGGTGTTCTTTTCTTCCACACGGCCCTCGCTCTAGAAAAAGAAAGGTTTCAGAATGGCCCTCCCAGCCGCCTGTCAGCCGGTTCCATTCACCCTTCATCCCTGAGACTTAGTAGAAGGCTCAGCTAGCTATGGCTGTAGACAAGTCGGACAAAAGAGCTATCTCTTGTTTGAGCTTTGCGGCGTCCACCCCAGCCGCTGCACTGGCACCACCACTGTCTCCCTTCTCAGCAAGTTGGCGCTCACAATCTGCTTTCCTTTTTGAGAGGCACAAACTTGAGTTCTCATGCGCTGAATGCTTGCAGACCAAAGGCACGCGGACGCCAACTGTCGGTTGCTGGACCAACTCGGCCTGGACAAATCCATAGGGGACATACAAGAAATCGCCAGGGCCCATAGTGCAAGACCACAACACACACTCTTTCTGATAGTCCTGGATCATCGCCACATTCATGGCGCGGAAGAAAGCTGACATCTTTGCTAGGGTTATCAACCCAGCAATGCCCTTCCTTTGCATGAACCCTTGCAACTGCAACACTTCAGTCATGACCACAGTCCGCGTGCCTTCTACAGACAAGCGCGCCACTGCGCAGCCAAGGAATTCACCACTCACTTTGTCATAGCTAGCATCAATGCCAAAGAGGCTCACCTGCAAGGCATCCTGCAACTGCTTAGTCATTGAGTCCCGGGCAACCACACGCCCAGACTTCAGGAAGAGGTCATCAACTTTACTCTGTAGAGCCGCTAGCACTTCACTGTCCTCAACAGCTTTCGAGACTCTGGCCCCCTTGGATTTCTTGCGGGCATCGTTGAAGGAATCCCTAAAGGAGTCCACACATTGCCTGCACTTCGCACCATCCTTCATAAGCTCACTCACCCAAGAAGAGCAATCCAAGCTGAAGGGCTTGGACATGTCAAAGCTGCAGTCTGCAGCCACACGTTGAACAGCAGTGGCGCCAGCCACTCCTTGGTCAAACACGGGCACTTGGGCAGCTGCTTGGCCTGCTGGTTTCTTTGGCTTGCTCGCGTCAGCTTGCTGCTTTGCGGTTTGCTTTTTCAACTGCTCCACAGCACTCTTGACCGCCTTGTCAGCCCTGGATGTAGCTGCCAGAAGCTGGGTCATAGGAGCTCGGATTGCCACAATCTCGGCTGTCACTTCCTGCACATGATGTCGTCGCAAAGGAAAAACAAAGAGGTGATCATGAACCGGGAAGTTGAACATCCAATAAATAACCCCTGACGCCGCAACTCATATCGACTATCCCAAACACCATGCATGCCTGTGGACCAATGGAGATAACCCCGACCAAGACCACTCAGCTGGGGTTTGTCAGCGGGGCTAGCTAACTTTGGCTTGGGGCCTGGGCTCTGCACATCAATGCCTTCTTGGCTTTGGTGTGGCAAACAAACATTCAGAAGGCATTCAACAACAGCCACTGGAACACAAAGCCGTTCAGTCAAACTAGTCCTTCACGTGGGCAGGCTGCGTGCAACGCTGGTAATTCTTGACAGCGCCCTCCAAAGCAGTGAATGGCTTGAGGGAAGCATAGAGCTCACAAGGAGGGGCTCGCCCAAGCTCAACTGGATTGCTGTCCAGCTCACCTAGTTCTGGCAAAGCAGCGTCGAACCTCCCAATGTAGCTCTTGACCGTGTTTTCATCCCCGTTGGGGTCCTTAGTTCTATAACTCTATCTTGAGCAAAACTATAATGTTGAAAAATGATGGCTGCAAGTGAAGCATGCGCGCGTTTCGGACTTCAAGCTGAGGGCGTGTCCAAAATGATGGTAAGGGCTTCCACACGGTTGGCTAGGATCTTGATTTCACCAGCAAAGTTCTTCTGGAAGACCGCATCTGGGTTGGACTTGTGCTCCTCCAAGCTTGCCTTGTGGTCCTTCAGACCCTTCTCAAGTTTGGTCTTGAAAAGGTTGATTTGCGTGGTGGATGATCTGACTGTGGCAGAAATAACACGGTCCCGGTCAACCCAAGGCTTTGCTGGCTTCTCTGGTGACGAGCCATTCGCCTCTTCCCCATCACCCTTCTTGGCTGGCCCCTCTGCTTCTTCAGAAGCAGCTTTGGCCTCACACGTCTTTGCCAGGTCCATGACATCCACCAGGAACCCATCGTTGCCCTGAAAGGCTGCGTCACCGTGTCGCACAAGAGCCTGGCAAATCTGGATTTGGTCAGCGATTGGGTCATGGTTGCTCATAGATTTTGCCTTCATGCGATCCACATCAGCTTGAGTCGCATTCTTTTTCTGCTCGACCTCCACGACAGCTTCTTTTTCCTGCATGAAGCTAGAGCGGAAGGAGAGCTGGTCAGCTGTCTTGACCCAAATTCGAAGCGCTCCATTCTCTCCACCATAGTCAAAGAACAGCTCTGGGTCTTTTGCAAGAGCCCTTTGTTCCCACTCAGACCATGTAGCAGCAATTTGCTCCTCAGTCTTCCTCCCCCCCCTGACTGTCATGGCAAACTCTGTGTACAGCCTCTTGTGCATCATCTCACCCACTGCGTCCTTCACAAAGCCACTTGCAGCAACAGTACGCTCGCGGTATTTGGCCAAAGACCAAGTGCCTCGCTTCTTGTTCTTGGCGCCCCCCATATCGCAGCATTCCGGGCACAACTCCAAATAGCTCTGGACCATGTTGAAGCAAAGGTCTGGATCCTCTCTTTGTTTTTTCACAAACTCGACAGCTTCTTTGCCCTGCTTGGTCGCCAACTTGTAGATGTTGTCGAGGGCCCGCTTGCACTTCCAACACCCTGGGAAGTTAGGAGCGCAGTCCTCAGCAGCAATCTTTTGCTTGCATCCCTTGCAATGCCGCGCGCACTTTGCACGCTTCTTGGGAGCAGCCTCAGACTGCTGCTCCTGGCCTTCTCCATCTGGCCCTGACCCGGCTTTCCGCTTCTTACCACGGCCTGTGTTGGCATCTTGTTTCTCCTTTGCCTGGCTCATCAACAGGAGGATGTCCGCGTCCACAGAGTCAAGAGCGCATGACTCAACATCCATGTTCAACCAGGGCTGGACTACAAACAGAAGGACAGTGGTGATTGAAAAATGTGCTCTCTGACAATCATCCGCGCGCAATGCATTCACAAAAAGCATTGAGAAGAATCCCTGCAACTCTATTTCCACTAGGCGTTGAAAGTTAGTGAAATTGAGGAAACACTCTTCAGTGCAACATCTGTGCATTGGTCCAGGCGCGCAAAAAGAAGAGGAATGGCTCGGGGCCCGCGCAGGCCCCGCAGAAGAATTGCCTGAGAAGGCAGCTGGTAATTGACAGAAGATGAATTTGCAAGCCTTCTAGCGTCTTGCGCACACCGAGAGTATTAGCAAACCACTTGCGAAAAGAAACCAGCAAAATGAAATGAGATAAAAGGAACATGTGTCATCCTATTTCCCTGACAGTGAGATTCTTTTCTGCCATCCCCAAAGGCATGTGTTTGCGGTGTAGTGAGAACATAGCCTGCCAACAGAGTCTGTGCATAAACTAACTGGAAAGATAAAGATTCTGGGAAACAATCACAAGAAGTCAGACAGGCCATGCATCAACCCAAGCTACATAGATTCTCTCACGCGATCACTGAGACGTCACTTCAGTGACAGAAAGGCAAAAGGCCATGAACAAACCAAGCACTCGGGCGTGCATCTGGTTGCCAGTCACCTTCGCAATCAGGCTTGATTTCACTGATCCAAGATAAGCCATGGACCAAGGACAACCAGTGTCGTCCTCACCCAAGTTCTGCACCAAGCCTTCCACCGGCCACCCCATCGCAAGCATCATCTCGAGTGGAATCATCTCTCGGCCCTTCCATTGCGACCAAAGGCGGCTGTGGGTCAAAAAGGAAGGCAGGATCTTGCTCAACTTTTGTCGGACACAGCAGTTCTGGCTAAGATCCACTACCCCATACATGCCCTTGTCAACGAACTCGGCGTTGTCCAAGCTCCCTAGAAGGTTTTGGTACGACAGCAAGCGCACCTTGGTGCCAACGTCCAAGCCAGCAGTGAAAGGCAAGGCCTGAGCATAATGACCCTGCAAAGTCCCTCTCAAAGTCAAAACTTGGCGTCGCAGGTGATCTTGCACAAGGTCTTGCGGGGCACAGAAAAAGTCATGGCCGTCAACTTGGACAGGTGTCTGGCACACCTTCAAGAAGTCATCTCGGGTGAAGTCCCATGTCAGGCGCAACCTTGGGCCCCTGATGGTCCAACTGTAGTTCCGCCATCTCACCATCGGCATCCCAACATCCTCACATTTCAATTTCAGCACAGTCGTCTTCCAACCCTTTTCTGGTGGGAAAGCGCTCTGGAAAGCTTCCTTTGTGTTGAAGCGACTGCTGCACTCTTGGAGTACCATGTCAACCTTCCGAGCCTCAGTCTGCACCATCCATATCGCTGCGACAATAGCAGACTCATGAAGCCACAAACCCCCACTACCCTGTGGAGAGAAGCTGACACATGAATTGCCGGCGCCCTCCAGCACCAAGTCTGTGTCATTGGTCTCTGGCCACAAAGGGCAAAAATTGTCATGGACATAGCAATACCCATTCTGGCACGCCTTTTTTGCCTGGACAGTTTCCCGAGCAACTGTCAGCAATTTGAGCATGCATCGATGACTGGTCTCTTCCCAAATCTTCTTTGCAGCAGCTGGGGTGCCTGCTGCCTTCATTTGAGTAGTAGCCCTGTCTCGCAGCACTTTGACAACCATCTCCATGTGTTTCACAACATCGCTGGGAAACTGGTGGGTGAGGTCCCCAAACACATGGTTTGGGCGGTGCTTTGCCTCCATCAGCACTGCCCGGGTATCATCACAAATTTCGTGAGCGGAGTAGAACACCACTGGAGCAGAGTTGTGGGCGTTGACAAGCCTCTGCATGCAGTGCTCTACTGTCCCCAAGCCAGTGTAGTGCGTGGTTACAAACAGCTTTGGCCCATTGACAGTTGACTGCTGATCAAACCAGAACTGCAAGTTCGGGGCCATGTTCCAGTGCATATCAAAAAGAAACTCAAAACCGTCTTTGGCCAGCTGGGGCCAATTCAGGAGCTCTTCCAAGAAATGCTCACTTTCCTCGTCCTCCCACCGGTCAGTGCCCCTCCGCTCACAACGATGGCGCTTGGCAGGTGGCTCACACTCACCCAAAGCTGTGGCTTCTACTCTGTCAGACATATGTCTATTTAAGGCAATCGCTGGAATCTGGAAAAACTCGAAGCGCAAAAACTTCGCTTGAGCTCTAGAACAAACCGCATATCACACAGAGTTTGCATACACACAAACTTGGCAGAAAAGGAAAACAAGAACTTCTGCGCAAAAAGTTTGCAACTAGGACAGGATGTAGAGGCTGTGGGAGAAAAAAAGAGGAATGAATACACCTGTGGTCTGGAGAAAAGTTCAGCGTCTGCGAAAACAGTATGGGCGTTGAGGATATAGACTTTGGGTCGCTTTGTTGTTCACTGGTGAGCATTCCAGGCGTTTTCGTGCCAAGGTTTCTGCTTTGGCGAGAAATTGTAATGTCAGGCCCAAAAATGGTTTGAACATGAAGCTTTGTGGGGTACAGGGGGCATTTGCAACGCACGTGGTCAGAAATGTTGCATTTGCGATGGCTTCTGCGTGTTTGTGGACAAGGGCACCTTTTTAAGATCTTTGGGCAGTCGCGCAGGTGTCGCGGATGTTCGCGGGTCTTCGCGGGCGTTCGCGCACGTGTCGCGGGTGTTCGCGCATGTGTCGCGGGCGTTCGCGCATGTGTCGCGCGTGTTCGCGCATGTGTCGCGCGTGTTCGCGGGTGTTCGCGGGGCTCACCCACTCACACAGAAGTCACAGAAGTGGACAGGAAAATCAAGAAAACAGCTCTTGTTGCAGCGTCGGAGATTTAGGGCAGCTTGGCCTCTAAGTTTTTCTTTTTTGACTCTTAAGTGCGCACTCAAAGGTAGAAAGACAACAAAACCCAGAGAGTTGCCCTGTCAACCTACCTCGAAGCTCAAAAAGACAGCTGCTATGGCCAGTCTCGCCTTGGGCAGTGTTCTCCAGAAGCCAAAACCAGCTGAGCTGAAGCGCAGCCCATAGCCTGCCACAAAATTTCTCCAAGACGGCCGCGCAAGAGGTTGAGCAGCAACAAAGAAACAATGTCTTGAATGGGCCAAGCCCTTTTCGATGCCTTGTGTGCAAAATGTTCCTTTTGCTTGGGGCTCCGTTTTGGGAACGAAGGGATCTATGTATGGTCCTATGTATATGGGGCGCTGTAATTGAAATATATAAACCTAATCGCCCCCAAAACGGAGCCCAAAACTTGGCGTCCCACCACAATCTACAACTCTACAACCAAAAAATTATCCCTTGCCAGGGTAATTTTTTGATATTGATGCCCTGAGCTGGGACGCACTTGATGTCCGGCGCACGAAGCAAAACCAAATGTCTATCAACTCTCTTTGAAGAGCTCTAGCAACCAACAACCACCCAGGATCCAGCCTGGGCGAGACTAATTTTGAGGATAGCTTCAAGCCCTTGGCAAGGGGCTTGACGATCGAGGGCCTGGAGAAAATCTGAGCTCGTCTTGCTTCACGACACGCGCAAGAAACAACCAGGCTTTGGAAATCTAAACAACATCTTGCTTCTCAACCAGTTTTGGAAGGCCCCGGCCTGAAAGAAAAGTTAGTCTGACCCCGAAGAACTCGAGGACGAGCTTGAGGACGACGAGGATGAAGTTGAATCTGAATCTGATCGTTCACTTTCCTGCTTCTCTTTCTGCCTACTGGAACTTTTAGCTTTGGCTTTGCTGGCACTCTTGTTTTTTGCTTTCGGTTTGGCTTTCGGTTTCGAACTTTCTTTTTTGGTCTTGGCTTTTGCAGGCTTCTTGTCAAGTTTCTTTGGCTTTGGTTTTTTCAATGGCTCTCTCTAGCTCCTCTGCATCAAGTTGTTCATCCGTCTTCACGGAAGACGGTGCCTCCCCTGTGAGCTCTTGCCCTTGCACTATCACCTCTGCAGGCAAATCCTCAGGACTCAAAGGCATCCGAAGGTGATCTCTTTGTCTATTAAATCGTGGTGCGCTATTACACCAATGCTTCAGCAAAAGAATCGTGGTCTTGCGAGACTCGGCCGAACTGTCTGCAAAGCGCAAGAATCGCTTACAGCCAGTGACCTCGCTTTTCTTATGGTATCGGCAAGATGCTTCAACCCCTCCGAAAGGTGGAGAAGAGTGAGGCTGCTTCACAGAAAAACTGAAATGACCATACTTGGCCACACGAGCAACTTGCAAAGCATCTTCAACCAGCACGGTTTCCTTGGAACTAGTAGCTAAAGCACTTGAACTTGAGCTGGCCACAGGAGGAGGGTGGGGGGGGTGCAAGGGCTTGGATTTGCTCTTCTGCTTCAACCCCCTCCAATATATGGTCATGAGTGGGACACACAGGCGGCGGCGGCAAAGCATTGTCAGCCACAGTTGCAATGTCCCCAACTCCACTCTCACTATCACTCTGCTCGCAAACTTCAGGCGAGGGTGGTTCTGGAGAAAGAACAGCAACCTCTGGGGCACTTGCCCCTGCTTGCTCTTCAAGTTCAACATCGGCAACCAAAGTGTCCGAGGGTTGCCTTTTGCGTTTGTTTTGCGCACATGTCCGAACAGCTTCGGAGGGAAGAGCGCCGCCAAAAATCAACTCATAAGCTTCACTGGGCAACCCATGCGGAAGTTCACACACACCGTTGCGCTTCAATCTCTCAGCATCAAGCAAGCACATCATGTACCAACGGGAGACAGTCACTCCAGCAGTGAACCAAACACGCTCCTGTCCAACAACAAAAGCCAAGTCTCGCTGCTTTTTTGCTGGCTTGAGTGACCAACGCCAACCTTCAGAACGCATTCGCATGAGCAGCTGCAACTCTGACATGTCAGCCAGAGACAAGCCCTCTGATGAAGCAAGGCAATGAGGCGATGACAGCGACCTCAAAAAATCCATGCGCCTTAGCG